CGGAGCGGGCACTTTGGCTGGCCCCAGTCTGGGTGGCTCCCCCAGTTCTTTGCCGTGCTGCTATGCCTCTGGCAACATGAGGAAGAGAACTGGTCTCGTTTTAGTAGTTGGTATTTTCCTGGGATAAAGCAGAGGCTCTTCTCTGAGCCCACTATTTTCCCTGCACTTTGATACCTCTGGGAAGAATGTTAGAGTGGAATAATAGAGAATTATTACTTGATGGTTCTAGCCACTCTGAATATGAGCATTAGTATAAGCTGCTTTGCTTGTGACTTTTTTCTTTTGCTCTAAGAACTGTGATAGCGGTTTACATTTTCCTCATAAATCTGAAGCCCCCATTGTAATAAAGTTTTTCTTTCTTTGTAGAATGTAACAAAGGAGAGACAGATGAAGTTAATACAACAACAAAACGACATCACTGGTCTTTCACGACAAGTGAAGCATGTGATGAACTTTACTAATTGGGCTATTGCAAGTGGCAGCAGTACTGCTTTGCTATACAGTAAACGGCTGGTAAGGAAGCATCCTCTAACTTGACTGTACGGTACAGAGATTGTTTAGTCAAAAGAATTTTCTAAGTGTCATGTAGCTTCACTAGATTATATCCAAGGAACAGACAATGAGTTGTTCATGCTTCATTTAAAAAACAAAACAAAAAAAACCCTTCTGTAATAATGGGATAAATTTCCCAACTTGTACACCACTTTTCATTCATAAATTAAGGACTTAACAGTATTATCGTAGAAGGAATGGGGTCAAGCTCTGTAAAGGCACCTCAGTGTTTCATTTGAGTCATTGCAGAAGTAGTATTATTGTGTAACAGTACTTCTCTGTAATCCTCTGAGTTTAGTAAAAAATTAGTTGTACGGTGGGTGATTTTCCTGGTGAATTGAGTACTTTCCAGGCTACTAACCAAACTTGCTGTTGACAGTCCTTGTTGGTGATCCAGCAGTCTAAACTTGCTGGGCAAATGCACACTGCTTAACGTTCTCGTTCTTTATTTCGTTGTCATCAACAGTCTTGTTTTTGCTTTCCATTAGATAACATTCCAGTTACGTCATATTTTAAAGGCACGTTGTGATCCTGTCCCAGCTGCCAATGGAGCAATACGCTTCCATTGTGACCCTACATTCTGGGCAAAGAATGTCGTCAATTTAGGTGAGAAAATTGTGTTTGTTTATTCCGTGTTACTTGAAAAACTAGATTGAGTTCATCAGCTGGGTGTTCATCCAACATGAATGAGTTGGAGTGCAATACATCTCTTAATGCAGAAGATCAAAGTTCTTGATACAACCTATCCAGTCCTGATTACCCTCCTTACGTGCTCTGTTCTTTCTGTTAGCAAAGCTTTCTCCACAGGTTTTGGTTTCCAGTAGGAATAGTTCTAGGAATGGCCTTTTTTTCTCCTCTTGAAGTGGTTCTGATGGTTACAGTATAACACACTAGCGCTAAATGGGTGCTTCAGTTTCTGGAATGAGCTTTTTTTGGCAAGTAAATAGAATCAGTTTTGCCTATCTGAACTTCATATTTAGCTGCATACAGAGTAATATTAGATGTCTTAATGTGTTGGAAGTTGCACGAACAAGCATAATTAGGGGGACTGTTGATATGAGGAAAGTTCATGGCTAAGTACCAAGCCAGTCCATGTGATTGCTGGAAAGGTAAGTGAATTGAGAAGCAACGTTTAACTAGTTTTGTATCCTAAGATGTCTGGCACGTTTATAAAGGTGAAGAAAAACAGAGCCTCATAATGGGAGATACGCTGCTGTTCTGCGTGTGTGTTGCTTGCAACTGCCGCATGGTAGATTACGGCACCATAGCTGTAACCTTTTATATCTTAAGTAGTTTTTCTCAGTGCAGCTGTTTATTCCTTCTTTGCCCTAAAGCTTTATTTGCCATGGGAGTCTGTAATAATCTGGGTGAGACAGGAGCTTGGAGCGCTCATGTCCTGCATGAGCGCTTGGTGACAGCTGGGATCGCTGAACATTTGGAGTTATGATTACTGCACATTGCTGACTGTTGCCAGATGCAGTAATAACGTGCTCTTTTACGGATGTAAGGTGTTTGATATCCTAGCTTCTTTATTATTGCCTTATCCTGCAGCAGTGTAGTGTCACTGTTTTTCTTCCATATTAATGCCATAATTATACTTTTCAAAGAACAGGTTTTGAATGAGAGAAGAGGGGGGGTGAGCTAGAGTGGGGAGAGCACAGTGAGACAGAGGTATCTGTTAGCTCCTGCTTGTGAACGTTTCTGTTGGATGAGAATCTAACAGAAAATCTGATAATACCAGCTCTTCCTGATGCTTTTGTGTGTACTCGCTTCTTGCTCTAAGTCCACTAGCCAGGTTTTGGTGTTCCTGTCTTTAGTCAAGAAGGTTTATATGCACAGTAAAAAAACTTTTCATTGTGTAAGTAATGGTTTAACATTTGACGCTATTCCTTCATGGGCAGTTCCTGAAGCAAGTTTTGAGTGCTGTTACTCTTGGACATTACTCAAGAAGGAAAAAGCAGGGCTTTCCAGAACAGAGCTTCAAATGTTGTTTGACTAGGAACCCAGAGCAGGCAGGGAAGGCGTGTAGGAAACAGAAGCTGTCAACCTCAATAAAAAGTGACATGCAGATTCCAGTGAGTACATGTTCAAAGTCAAAAATCAACATTTTGCCTTTTCCCTTTGAAAACAGGACTGGAGAGAGCTAGAGACAGTGTGGTCCATTGCATTGTATCAAGGCAGGACTCGCTTGTAGCAGTGTTTTGTGTCATGCTTGTCTAACCTGTTCTTAGTCATTCAGTGATGGGATGCTCTCCACTGTCCCCCAGATACCTTTTCCCGGGCTTTGCTTCCTTAGGTATAGAAACTTTATGCTCAACATGTTTTTTTTCCTGTTTTGTTTCTCATCTTGTCCGTTTGTTGTGAACACAGAGAACAGTCATCTCTGTCTTTTAGGCTGCGCCGTTCCAGTTCTTTCACTCTTGCCTCATAGGTCTTGTTTTTAGTTTTGCAATTTCTTCTTCTTGTAGTCTGAGTTTTCTTTTTGTCTCTCTTGTGTGCAGTTATGGAGACTTAAAAAGAAGATTTCAAACTTAAATTGCTTTGTTACTGCCCCTGAGGAAACTGAATTAGAAACATCTGAATATTCTGCATTTATTGACCTTTGGATAATGATGGAGATTTAGCTGTTTACTAGTTCCTTTTTTGTTTTGTTTAGGTAACCTTGTCATTGAAAATAAGCCAACTCCTAGTTACACTCCTAATGTAGTGGTTGGACAAGCTCCTCCAGGAACAAACCACATCAACAAAGCTCCAGGGCAAATCAATCTAGCGCAGCTTCGACTTCAGCATATGCAGCAGCAAGTGTATGCACAAAAACATCAGCAGCTGCAGCAGATGAGGATGGGACAGCCATCTGGGTCAGTTCCCAGGCAGACGAGTCCACAAATCTTACAGCAGCAGGTAAGTATCTCATATGTTCTTACTTCACCTTTTACCAGAACACTGAGAGTTAAAATTGCCCTATCAAATATAAACTTACAAAGCAGTTTATAAATGTGAAGATCTTTTGAAATTTGACATACTTTAAATGTGACAGCTATTGGCTTTTCTTGATGTTATGTAACTGGTAAACCTACTACTGTGGAAAGAGATTGGCTTCTTTTTTCCATGTTAAAAGCAAAATTTTTAAAAAACAAAAACCCTTGCAGCCTCCCAGGTTGATCAGCATGCAGACCATGCAGAGGGGTAACATGAACTGTGGGGCTTTCCAAGCACATCAGATGAGAATGGCTCAGAATGCTGCTCGTATACCAGGAATACCACGCCACAATGGACCACAATACTCCATGATGCAACCTCACCTTCAAAGACAAGTATATCCTGTGTACACGCTTCATTTGTGCCATTGCGCCAAACTTTCATTACAATAGATGATACCTCCAGCTGTAAATGTGTTTATCACATATAACTCACAGCTGCACACATTTATATGCTTTTTCATGTTGCATACTGTACTGTGACATTTTTGCTGAACATAAGAAAATTCAAACCTTAAAAATGAAAATGAATTCCAATATTTGTATTGCATTTTAGTTCTGGGAAACAAAATATTTCCTTTTTCACTTTTCAGTGACATTCAGCTTTTGGGTTTCTTAGAAAATAGTTAGGAATAGTGAAGTTCAAAATGATGTAGTTGAGGGGTTTTAATGAAACCAAATTCTAAAGTGTTTTTAAATTCAAACCTGAAGCATGATGCAGAGCTCTGCATACCATTAAGAATAAAAATTCTTGACAATGAATGCTAATGTGACTGGAAAACAAAAAATGACTTTATAATACTTGAAACAGTTACTCTTTCCTTTTAAAAAAAAAAGTCTGTAGACAGACGTACAGACTCTAAAGTTGTCTTTGGAGGAAGTAATTGCTTTAAGAAAACTGAACTATATATGAAAATAATTTGGTGGAAGATGTGCTGTATATTTAAATATCTAGCCACATAAAGTGTTTTTTCTTTCAAAGTAAATAAAAATAGCAGTCGCTTTGCATTCAGTGCTATCAGGTTATGTTCTTCCCCCCAGTTTTTTGTTGAGGAGTATCGTATAATGCACATGTTGCAATTTTACATGCAGTGGCTGATTTGTTTGTAGTGCAGTCATGTTCTCTTCTCTTTTCCTACAGCATTCTAACCCTGGACATGCGGGGCCTTTTCCAGTTGTTTCTGTGCACAACACCACTATTAATCCAACTAGTCCTACTACAGCAACAATGGCAAGTGCAAACCGTGGTCCAACAAGTCCGTCCGTTACAGCAATTGAACTCATTCCTTCTGTAACAAACCCAGAAAATTTACCTTCCCTGCCGGATATCCCACCCATCCAGGTCAGTGGAGAAAATCAGGCGCTTACACTGTGGGTGAAGTAATGATCTGCTTTCTTTTCTGTATCTTTTTTATTTGGATACTGGTACTTGTCTGTAGAATGGTATAGTTAGTTATAATTTAAGTCAAAGAATTAAAATCTTCACCCCTTGACTTGGGCATGCAACTATTTTCCCTATAAAGGGCTGACCTGCTCAATCTGTATTAACCTTTAGATTCATAAGTATTTAATGGCTGTCCTATAGTAAAATTGATACTTAGATTGGTTAATCCCAAGTACTGTGTTCACTTCCTTTCTTCCACAAGACTATCATATGGGAAGATATCACTAGAATAGTTGAATAGTTACCTATGTTGAATGCCCTGAATGGTTTATTCAGAGTTAAAGTTGCCTGGCACTTCCTTGTGATGTTCCTAAACATAGCAATCAAATGCAGGAAGTACAGAGAAAAGGTCTCCCACTGCCCTACTTTTCTCTCTCCTCACATTTCCTCTGTACCCCAGTGGTGTGGCTGTAATCATTTCCTTGTGTGCAAGAGGCCAGCATTTACATTAGCATTGGATCCTGGAAGGTGCTGCAGAACACTTAAGCTGGCCTCCGTGATTCAACTTGACCTGTAGTGGTGTCTGCCTGGAAATTCTTGCTTGCACAGAGTGTGACTGTTGCTACTTCTGTAGTTTTCACTTCTGCACGCTATTGATACTCACTGACTTGGCACTGCAGAGTGTGCCCTGTATTCTTTGCCCAGAGAGGCAGTGGATAGTACTGTACACAAGCTGAGGTCGATTTTGATGAAGTCAAGCTCATTTGGAGACGTCAGAAGCATAATTTAGTGTATGGGTGGAGGCAAAGAAAGTAAAAGTAATATGTTTTCTGCAGCAGTGTTTGGGAGGCCAGGGAGGTGGAGGATGATGACTTTGTCTTGAGAACAGGAAGTTTACGTTGAAATGCCCATATAAAGCACGGGAGATTCGGTCATGATACAGGAAACAATCGCCTTAGAAACAAAACCTGAATTTCATCCAAGCAGATGGTCTGCTGTAATACCAATGGCAACTGTTTACCTCTTAATCTATAGAGACTCATGTTCAAGGGTTGTACGTTCAGTTTCCTCATGAGGCTGCACGTAATTTGCTAACGTAAGAATAGTGAAGAAAAAAAGGATCACATCTCTGTGATTGATCTGCAGTGCTGAAGCTTTGTTTAGTCATTAGAACAAAACACAAGTATAACTGGTTATGACTGATTCAGCTGTACGTGTCTAAAGTTCATGATACAACAAGTTAGAAATAGTTGTTAGTGGGATAGTCTGAAACATAAACATGCAACCTCTAGGTGCGCTGAAAATGCAGAATTCTGTTAAGATGCTCTTTTTTTATACCTGTTCATGTAATAGCTGTTACAGATTTTAGTTGATAGAAGAGTTGGATAGGAAGCTATTAGTCTTTCGAGTTGCTTGCATAGTCGTAAAAACCTGCTTTGAATACAGTGTCTTTCAAACACATTATTTGCAATTATGCTGTCTTGCAGTTAATAGCTTTAAGCAGTTAAAGTAATAGGGTACCTGTTTCCTTGTTTTTAATAGATACTAAAGTCTGTGTAAAAAGTGAATGGGAGGGAGGGAGATTTCACATTATGCTAAGGAAAAACAAGTTCATGGTTTCCTTTAATTTCTTAATTGTGGAATAACTCTTGCAAAATTAGTAAGCTGGTAGTTCATATGACTAACACCCTGAACATCTGGGAACCAAAAAGTTTGGAATGACCTAAAGTAAGTGCAGCCTATGACCATACTGGAAGAACTCAGGTATTTAGGAGCTCTTGAAAAAAATCTTACTTTAAGTTTCTGACTGTGGGTTTCTGTTTTGAAAGACTGATCTCTGTATGAAACTGATAAAAACGTTTGCTGATGTCCTGAATCCTTGAAGGGATAGTGAACAATTCTGGTAAAGATACTGATCACAGTTTAAAGATGTGGAACTATTAAGAAACTTTAATTAGGCCTCTCTGATTCAGACTTTTGGTTTTGCTTCTTAGCTTGAAGATGCTGGTTCAAGTAATTTAGATAACCTTCTAAGTAGATACATTACGGGCAGCCACCTACCCCCACAACCTACAAGTACCATGAATCCCTCCCCAGGACCTTCAGCTCTATCTCCAGGGTCATCAGGTAAATGTGATGGGTATTTCTAGTGATTCTAGAAAGTGATGGGTATTTCTGGTATGTAAGTTGAAAATAATTACCTACCATTTCCTGCCAAAAGGGAAGTAACATTGAGTTAGTTTAAAATTTATTTTGCTCAGAAAAAAATTCTTCTGGAAATTTAAATTTTACCCTCCTTCAGAAATATCTTTGTAATAACAAACTGCCAGCACATCAACACAGAGTTCCAGATACGTGTATAGACTATATTTTCGTCCTGTGTTACCACAATCCTTTTTTATTTTATTGTGCATCAGAGGATGTAGTTCAGTTATTGCCCCCAGATGATGACTGGCTAGACCATTCTGTGGTTTGGGAAGTAAGTTTATAGAATAGTTTAGTCACAGAAATACTTACACGCAACAATCATTTGAGCAAGGTCATTCTAAGTATAGCCAACAGATGATAGAGCTTTCGTTATGCATGTGAACAAACTAAGTCACCAATACCTAATGTTGAGTTATGTAAATGTTGAAAATGTCAATTTCTATTAGTAAGAATCTGATTTCAGTCATTCAAATACACGTTTCTCTTAGTCTTCTCCCTGCAAGATTATTGTAAGATTCTGTGAATGAATGGTAGCAGCAGAGGAACTTACTATGTGTCTCAAAACCTGCATGTAAAACATACTGAGCCTGCTTTTCTTGACTTTACTGGTGGATGTCAGTGAATAAAATTTGAGGACTTAATGGGCTGAGGGCTATAACACTGTTTGGATTAGGTGAAATAATTATTGGGACTCTTAAGAACAGTGTGTTGTCTTGTTTTTATTTAATGTGGTGTGCTAGACCTTTGTTCTGATCAAACGACTGAGAGTGCAGCTGACTTATGTGAATTATTAAATTAGGATATTCTAGCAGTACTTCTGGTGTTACTCAACAGTAGACATTTATTTTCCTGCAGAATGTAAATTTGTACCAAGTCAACTTCTATGCTGCTTCTTTGCAGGTTTGTCCAACTCCCACACTCCTGTAAGGCCACCTAGTACCTCCAGCACAGGTAGCAGAGGAAGGTGAGTGTGTTACGTTAACACTGCCAGGCTGAAAAATCAGACATGAAGAAAAAAAAAAATGAATTGGCAGTGGGTCAATAGGGCTTTGATATTATGACCCAGTAATGGAAGAATGCTTACATGAAGGAGATTCCACACACACCCGCCGCCCCCTCTTCACTATGATTCTCTGCTGTCTTGTAAACTTGAGCTGTCTTGTAAATGTTCTGACGTGCTTTGCCTTTGAAATTGTTCAGGAAATGGTCATTTAAATTTCTGTCCTCTGATGAGTTTTCCTCTTATTTATATGCTGGTCTCTTTTCTAGCTGTGGCTCGTCGGGCAGAACTGCTGAGAAAACTAGCATTAACTTCAAGTCTGACCAAGTGAAAGTCAAGCAAGAGCCAGGGACAGAGGAAGAGATATGCAGTTTCTCAGGAACAGTAAAACAGGAGAAAACAGAGGATGGCAGAAGGAGTGCTTGCATGGTACAGTTAGTTTGTGTGACAGTATGTTGTGTTTTTCCTAGCAGCATGTTTAGGATTTTGGAAATAAAAAAGCAGTTTTACTCTTAAGCCTCATACTCTGTTAACAGCCCTGAAGATTGAGAGGTATTTTGCTCCCTGGCAGTGTGTCTGAACTTTAAGTGTGGGCCAGCTCAAGTGCTGAGCTGTCTGTTTTTGTAGGACTGCTAAGACTTAATTACTGGGGGTTTGTGACATAGGTACCAATAAGCCGGCAATGGGACTTGAACAGTAGCTTGCTCTCTTATGTGGAACAAATAAACATTAAATGATGGCAGACGTTTCCCTGCCTGATTTGGACAGGATCCTAGTGATGTGGATTGAAAACACACCTAGTCCTTGTCAGTTTTATGTATTACCATAGGTAGTTGTGTGTTGAAAGTAGTCGGATAGAAAACAGGAATCTCAGTTTGGTCCTCATTGAGAACTTTATTACATCCTTTAATACTATGCTGTGCCAGACACAGGATAGTCTGTTGTGTACATTTCATTTCTAGCTATTAAAATGAAATACCCTCAGCAGTATAGTGCGTTTGCTGCTTTTAACCTCTAACTAATAAAAGCTCTTAAGTCACCTATTGTTAGTAGTTCCTGGACATTCATACGTATGTAATTACATTGAGAAATCTTCCAATCAGTCAAAAGTTCTTATGCCAGAGCATAAATAAAATATTTGTGCAAGTGAATATTTTTTCAGTGTTTCCCAGCTATGCTTGATTTAATAGGATTGTGTACTGGGAGCAGGGTGATGGATTTGAGGATTTTTCCTAGTGACAGTGAATGTATATTTTTAAAAATTTATCAGTGTGTTTGGCTTGAAAGTTTGTTTATCATGTTATATATCAGTAGAAATGAGTCTGTTCTTGAAAGGATGGACTTGTAAAAGTAGTTTTCAATATTGTATGCAACTTGGGTCTTTGTAATGATTTGCCGTGTATTTTGGGAAATGAGTATAGTACCTTTAAATGGTGGATGGCTTTTTACTTCCACCATATGAAGAAAGATACCCTTGTAAAATTGACTCTTTCTGATTGTCATGTGCTACTTTCATTTCAGCTTAGCAGTCCTGAGAGCAGCTTGACACCACCACTATCCACTAACTTGCATCTGGAAAGTGAATTAGAAGCATTGGGAAGTCTTGAAAATCATGTAAAAACTGAACCAGCAGATTTAAGTGAAAGTTGCAAACAGTCTGGACATAGCCTTGTAAATGGAAAATCCCCAGTGCGGAGTCTAATGCACCGATCAGCTAGAATTGGAGGAGAAGGCAATAACAAAGATGATGATCCAAATGAAGACTGGTGTGCTGTATGCCAAAATGGAGGGGATCTGTTATGTTGTGAAAAGTGCCCAAAGGTGTTTCACCTGACTTGTCATGTACCAACACTCCTCAGCTTTCCAAGGTACCAGAAACAGTGTAATGGTTCCTGAGAACAGCTCTGTGGTCTCATCATATGGTAGATTTCAACACGTACCAACACTGGTGTTTCATCCTCAACATCAGCTTGTTCTGGATGATTTCTTGTTAGTAAAAAAATCTGACATTTCAAAGGCCTGCCTGAATTGTTTTGCATGTTAACTGGTCAGTGTTTATCTGGTAAACATATGGTCTCTCAAAATGTGATTCTGTTGTGCAAAGTTCATCTTAAAGTCATGGTGAGGAAGGTGTTTAAAGTATTAGAACGTACTTGGGAGAGGAATATGAGGGCAGGAAAAATGGCCTTGACTGGCAGAATTATCTTGAGCATTAAGGGTTATTCCTTATCTTTGGATATCCAAGTCTTTGCTACAGTACAGTGTGAATCTGTAAGAGCTAATGAAAAAAATCTTTGTAGTCATCACTGATGAGTCTTTGTCCCTAGGTATCTGGAATAATTGTGTTTATTTCTGTTTAGTGGAGAGTGGATATGTACATTCTGCAGAGATCTGAGCAAACCAGAAGTAGAATATGATTGTGACAATTCACAACACAGCAAGAAAGGGAAAACAGCACAAGGTCTGAGCCCTGTGGACCAAAGGGTATGTCTCAAATCTGTAGGAATCTGTTTCCTAGAAAAAAGTCGTTTCTTGCATTAGCTATCCCCCACTGTTTATTGAAGATGTGTTTGCTGTGGCTGCAGCAAATTAAATATACTTATGGCTTTTGCAAAAAAAACCCAAAATGAGTAATGAGATTTTTCTTGCTGTGACCACATATCCAGGTGTTGGTGACTATGTGGGAGTGCTCCATTACATTAGGACTCATAATCTAGTAGCTAAAACTTGCATGTAAACTTGCATTCTGTATTTAAATGCATCCTTTAACATGCATTAATCTCTTCAGTGTTCTTAATTAGAAGTCCTTTGCATTTAACATTGATATAACCTTCATAAAATAGTTATGTAAGTTTGGTGTGTTAAGTTGATGCTGAGAGAGGTGCTAGAAGTATTTAGGTGCATTCTTGTGGAAGGTGTAATGACCTTGACAGTCAGAATTATTTTTAGCTTTATCAGTCAGCCTGTGCATAAAGTGTTAGAGTATTACCAAATCAAATGCCTCCAAAGGAGTTACAAGCAAAGGAAAGAAAAATATTTCAACAGGGAATTCATAAAAACACTCTGCCTTTGGTTTCAAATTATTTAATTTTGTGTTGTGGGGAAAAGAATAAAAGTCTGCGATTCAGTCCTTTCCTGTTACATGCAGTTATGGTTGGACAAAAGTGGTTGTAGTTTGTCTTTTTTGTTTGTTTGTTTTTTTAATTTGACTGTATATTGGCATGCTTCTTCATGTTTGACTTTAGCCCTAGGCTTTTGTTTAGGAAGAAGAAAGCAAAAAGGGAGTATGTTTCTGCTACGTGAACAGTAAGGTGGTGTTCTACCCTCTCAACAATGCCCTCCTAAGAACTTTACATTTTATAATTAAGCTTGTGGGTATTGCACTTAAATCTTCTAGTACTAAGCTGCTAAAGTACAAACCTATTTAAAATAGGAAGATATGAACTTCTGGGCTGAGGAGAAATTAAGGATATTAATGTGAAGCTGTTTATTTCTTTGTAAGAAATGTGAACGTCTCCTGCTTTACCTGTATTGTCATGAGCTGAGCATTGAATTTCAAGAGCCAGTCCCAGCCTCGGTGAGTCTTCTGAAAAATAGTTTGTGATTTATTTTTGGCATAACATCTCTAAAAGTCTAGAGTTGAGTTTGGGAAGGAACTGACTGCTTTTACTTGAAGCATGTCCTTCTTGCTCAGTGTAAAAGTTCTGGCAGTCATCCAGTATTTCATAGAATCATAGAATCGTTTAGGTTGGAAAAGACCTTTAAGATCATCCAGTCCAACCATTAACTACCAAGTCTACTCTAAGCCAATCAAGGGTAGACTAGACTGAACCATGTCCCCAAGTGCCACCTCTGCCCGTTTTTTGAACACTTCCAGGGATGGGGACTCCACCACCTCTCTGGGCAGCCTGTTCCAATTCTTGACCACCCTTTCCGTAAAGAAATTTTTCCTAATTTCCAACCTAAACCTCCCCTGGCGCAGCTTGAGCCCATTTCCTCTCGTCCTATCGCTAACTACTTGGGAGAAGAGACCAACACCCACCTCGCTACAACCTCCTTTCAGGTAGTTGTAGAGAGCGATAAGGTCTCCCCTCAGCCTCCTCTTCTCCAAGCTAAACAATCCCCGTTCCCTCGGCTGGTCCGCATAAGGCCTGTGCTCCAGACCCTTCCCCAGCCTTGTTGTCATCATTCTGAGAGGCCCAGGCTGATCCTGTAGCCTCTCCACGCAGAGGCTCTTCGCCCAGTCTCAAACCCACATATTTAAAAATACCTGCAATTAGCAGTGGTTGAATTGGAAGAGGATGTCTCGGGATACCCATGAAATTCAAAATGCTTTAGGGGAGTTTGTGGGTGTTTGGGGTTGGTTTTTTTTTGTTTTGTTTTTTCTGACAATCTTTTGAAAGGAGGAAAGAAACTGCTTTGACTCTTCTGTTTTCAGCTGTAAAAGAAGTAACTATAATGAAAAGCTTTGCTGTGCTATGATAGACACTGAAGGTTAGAAAGAACTTCTTAAACAGTTTGAGGAAAGGAAATTGTTCTCACTTGCTGAACATGCACACAGTGCATGATGAGATTAGCTGATTGATATTTTGATAAGTGAAGAAATTCAGCTGCTTCTGTGAACTATGTAGTCATTGTAGTGATCAATCACTGTCTTTTACAGATACCAAACTACTATAAAATTATAAAGAAACCAATGGATTTATCTACAGTGAAAAAGAAACTGCAAAAGAAGCATTCCCAACACTACCAGACTCCTGAGGATTTTGTGGCAGATGTCCGGTTGATATTCAAGAACTGTGAAAGGTTTAATGAAGTATGTTAACTTCCAATCTGTATACATTTTTTTAGATTAAGATTTATTTCAACATGGTTGTGCAGCTTCTCTAATTAAAGGCTCTGCTTCCAGTTGTAACTTCTGCTTATGGAGCAGATGCTGAATCAGACACTTAAAAAACAAAACAAATGCAGTTACAGAACTACCTCTCAGTTTTAGCTAAATGGGGAGATCGGGCTTTAACAGACGGAACTTTTTAAGTGCGTTCACTGGTATGGATATATGACTGAGGAGCAGGGTGACCTTGTTACTGTACATGAAATAGATTGTAGAAGTGCATAGGAAGTGTGGTAATAAAGACAATCAAGCAGTCGTTAAAACTGTCTCAAGCTACATATAGCACTAATACAAGCTATTGTACAGATAATTGTTCTTACACTCATGAAACATGGTAAACCTCTATTGAGGAAACTTCCTCTACTGAGGAAAAGTCCCTTTCTGAAGAATATTGTACTGGTTTTAGTACCTCATGCAGGCTGAACCCAGAAAAGCATTATGTTCATTATGTCTAGTATTAAGCTTAGTGCTTTAGCTCCTGAGTAGTTGGGCTCTCACAAAAATCAGTTTTCAGTAGATAATGGAGTCGTATTTTTGATGAGTGTGGCAAGTTGACTTACTTCGCAATGAACCCATCTGATAATGAAATATTTGCACTTTACATGTAAAATGTGACTTGGAGATAAATTACCCAAGTGTTGTTACTAGGTGGAGCAATGGAAAAAAATATTCTGAATATCAAAAACATTGTGGCATTGTGCTGAAACAGAGTAGGAGCTGAGATAAGAGGGTATCCTCATTTCTGAGATGCCTTAAAGCAAGGATGACAAAAAGCCCTGGGGAGAAGGCATCACAGGGAATGGCTTTCTTCTGACCTTAGAAATGCATAAAACAGCTAGTATTTTTCTGTAAAATGTAATCTGAGTTTTGCAGTGTTTGGGCTGCGTTTCTAGCTCTGTGAAGAAGTAAATTGAAGGAAGTACACAAACCTACAATTAAATCTCAACTGTTTCACACGTACACTAGTAAAAGTCAAGGTTGATGATGTAATGCTGTAAACGCTCACAAGCATTTGGGACTTTGACACCCCCGACTCCCTTATGTCTCTGTATTAGGTGGAGGTTAATGAGCACTGTGGAAGAAGTTGCAATTATGTGAACTTCTCAATCAAGGGAATTAATGAAGCATCTACTGTAGAGGAAAACATGCTGCAGCTCTTAGGGACAAGAGTAAAACAAGGGAGCAAGGACTGATGGATGTGTGTGTGTTTGTTGGGTTTTTTTTTTTTAAATGATGTTTCAGACTTGTCTCGCTGTTTGAAATGCTGGCTCATGGCAAAAGATGAGTCACCCTGACCTCTCATAGTAGCATCATGTCTAGTGCCTCTAAGCCATATGCTTTTAAAAAATAGAAATTGAAGTGGGGTAAGACACCCAAGAAAGTAGTCTCATGGAGCACTTCTCTCTAAAGTGAGACTTTTCCACAATAATGTCCAGGCAACTAAAATTAATAATGAAGAAAGCAGTCACGAGTGGAGTGCAGTTTTGAAAATGGCTGGTAGACACTTATTTGTACAAAAGTTGTGTGTTTTGTTGAAGGTTTATTTACCTCATGTCACCCTCCTAAGACTGTTTTAGACCTGCTTCCGCTAAGTTTGAGAACTAAAGAGGTGTAGTCCATAACAAACTGTTTTGTTGTTATGGCTGACTTTAGTCATCCAATCCTATGCAATCTCATAACTTTAGAAAGCATTACAATTTCATTTTTTTTGACTCTGGTATCCTTTTTAGATGATGAAAGTTGTTCAAGTTTATGCAGAAACACAAGAGATTAATTTGAAGGTAAGCGTTTCAGACCATGCACACTTGGTGAAGGGATGTGCATTTCCAACAGGTGAATATTCCTGTCTTCTTTTATTTACAGGCTGATTCAGAAGTAGCACAGGCAGGGAAGGCAGTTGCATTATACTTTGAAGATAAACTTACAGAGATCTACCCAGACAGGACCTTCCAGCCTTTGCCTGAATTTGAGCAGGAAGAGGATGATGGTGAAATAACTGAGGACTCCGATGAAGATTTTATACAACCACGTAGAAAACGCCTAAAATCAGATGAGAGACCAGTGCATATAAAGTAATCTAATGATATGGACCTAAAATTTATTGTAAAAACTGTTATTTAAGTGTTCCTGGAATATTATCATGCCTACAGTGGTCATCTTGAAGAAGCTGATAGCTTTTTAAACAGTATTAGATTACAAAAAACACTTGTACAGAAAAGCATTCTCATCAAAAGGGGAAAAAAACCTGTATTGTAAATTTTTGGTTGTGGGGGTGTCGCTGTTGCCCAAAAAAAACCCCCGATTATTTGCTATATTTTTTCTTTTCCTGATGGAGGGGACACACTCATCCTGGTCTCACAGGTAGAGGTGGATGAATGTTGAAGAGAAGCAGGTGTGATAAGAGATGTTCCATGTACAGATAAGACTGCTTAGTAAAATGTTCTGCAGGACTGGACCAATACAGTTACTGTATCTTGCATTCATGCTGGATTGCAGTGTAAACTGCAAGCAATGTTTCTGAAACCCCCTCTTTGTGTGAACTTAAGTGCGTGTTGGTCATTGCTTTTATCATCTCATTTAAGTGGTATTGTGAATAACTGATCTTCCGTGTTGATCCAATTATCTAAATTTGACTTTCTTTACTACATTTTATGTATAGCAAAAGGAAAAAAAAAATCATTAAACTGTTCTGAATTGGCAAGTGCAGGAGTGTGAGTTCTTGACAGATGAAAGACTAAACTGGTGGCAACACTCTCTTTTCAGTAGGGCTAGGTATATTTATTATGAATCCTGTACACAGAACATTTTAATGGCGTTCATGGCAGAAGTCTTAGCATTGTGTCATCTGTCCCCGCTCCCCCTAATGAGGTAGAATGTTACCTCCAGTGCTCATTGTCTAATTTTCTGTACTTAAAGTATAGACTGAAGAGGTAATAACTGGTTGGGGTGTTTTTCCAGTCTTCCTAAATATCGGTTTCTAATAGACCACTCGGCAAACAATAACCTATTAACTACCAAATGTGTAAAATTTCCTGTATTCACTTTGTCTTATTTGTAAATAGTGAATTGAGATTTCTTGCAGATCAGCAACATTTGCTGAACTGTTTTTAAGCTAATATGTATTCTTATTAATTGTTCCTATCAAGAAAAGATTTGTAATATATGCTATTTCTAACATTGCATTCATTTTGAGGTTCTGTCTTATTTTTATTAGAGTACTACTCAGACCTTTCTTCAGAAGCAGCTTATGAGCGAAATGTCTAGAAAGATTGGAATAAATCTGTTGAGATTGGGTTACTTGTCCATCCATTGAACAAAGCACTTGCACAGACCAGGATTTGGCTTTGAGTGGTTTCTGGTCAAATATTGAAAACGGAACAATTTCCCTATTTCCCTAAACCCTGTGGCAGGCATCTCTGCAGTGCCTTCCCTTTGCACACTGCCTTCATTCCAGCATTTCTGGTTAGAAATGAGGTCATCACAAAGTAATTACAGTTTGAACAATTGTTTCCTTTACTGACAGAAATCAATACTAGAAGTAATAAATGTAATTTCTGGCCTTTATATAGATCTTGTTAAAGTAGGATGAAGAAATCATGTAATTGGATGAGGTCAAGTTGACGGACTATAAATTTGCCATAAGATTTTGTGTGAATACAGCAGTTCTGTGGTAAATCACTGGGGTTTTGGTATACTCAGCATGAGCAGTTCCTGTGACATTGTATACACTTTACCATAATGGTAAAGATAAATATTTTCGCACAATGTATCAAATTGAGATATGCTCTCAGCAATTTTTATGCAAATCACTGAAGATTTGATTTCTTTTTATAAGAACAAAGTATATGTACATTGTGACTATACCTCTCACAATAAATGAGGGTACTGACTCACACTCGCTTCTTGAGATTACGCAAATGTTGCACTTAAAACTCAAACTGGGTTTGGTTTTGGTTTTTTTTTTTGTCATTTCTCAGATACTAACATAGTGCCAGTTTAAATTTATTTTTTACTGGTTTGTATGTGAAAGGAAAAGTAATTCTACTTAAACATACTAAATTGGCAAACAGCAAAAACTGCCCGTAGAAAGGATGACCTGTGTGAATAGGACACTAATAGTAACAAGGGATCATTTAATGGCTCAGTGTATTGCCTATTTATGCATTTCTAGTTTCTCAGCTTCTTTTTGCAAAGGAATATTATTAAAATTATCATGAAAATGAGATTTTGTGAATTCTCTTCAATTGGGGTTACTATTTTTATGGCGCTTAAGCACTCTAGGTTCTGTACCTTCAGGCCTCAACTTTTTAACTGTTCACTTTGTAAGGCACCAGTCATGGATTCAAGTGCTGCAGATACCCACTGCCTGCGCCGGAGCATAGGGCAAGCGCGACGGCATCCTGGACTGGGCCACAGAGTGGGGCAAGGACCACGCTGCAGAGCTGCGGTTCAGGGGCAGCGCTTGCTCCCTGGCTGCTGCAGGAATGGTGCCAGCGGTTTTCCACCCAGATCCCAGCTACCAGACCCTGGAGCAGATGTCTAAATGTTTTGAGATAGCCTCTCGGATTGGGTCACTCACTGTGACAAGGTAGAAAAATTGTCAAACTTTGTAGGCTAGCGACTTAGCCTGTATTCCACTAGTTCACCTGCAAACCACAAGTGATGCTAAGCTTTGACCTCAATGAGAGTTGAAGCTCTACCCTTGCACATAACCCACTGAACTTCTAGAATTGTCCCTTCTGTTCAGCTCATCAGTGCTCAGTAGTAGTATGTGGAATTTTGACTTGTGTGCAAGAAGTCTTAAGTGTTTCTTTTTTATAGAAAAGAAACAAAACAACGTTTTCTCCCTCCCCCTTCATTTTGGAACTCCTGATACAACAATTCAATTACTGTTTTGAATTTAGCTAAGTTCTATTAAAAAATATTTGAAAGGATAGATAAGCTCTGCTAATATATTTCCTGATCCTATTGTCTGTAGATGTTCATTGTAGAACCGGTAAGGGTTTGCTCAGTCAAAACAACTTTTTGGTGCCGCGCTCTATGTACCTTGTTCAAGAGCAGATTAATGGGGTTTGTATTAACAGGCCAATGTGTTACTCTGAGCATCTCCTTTGTGCCAGATGATGTGTGTGCAATATGTGCAAGTGACAGTGTGTTTTACCCTGGGAATCAGAACGTAGCTTACATCAATAAAACTTGTAGCAGATAAAAGATGCGGAGGGTGCGCTCTGTGTGCCAGCTCCTTTGTCTGCACGATTGCAGTGTTCCAGCATGATAGCAAGAAGATAGTCTGGCACTTGATGTAACGATATGCTCTCATTTAAGACACTTGTAAAAAAAAAAAGACCATTCATGTCTCAATTTTTGTTGTAAATGACCCTGAAGTTTAAGTTAATCCAAAGAAGTAAAAGGCAACTTGCTTTTGAAATAAGAGTGAAAAGTGTACAGTATGCTACTTGTGGACTTCTCAATTACCTCAGCAGGTATCCTGCCATGTAATTACTAGTGATTAGTGATAATTTAACCAGCTTGAATAGGTTCTGTGCCCTGGAATTAAGTGGCCTATAGCATAATAAGGCAGAGTTACTATCCAAAAAAAAGATGTTCCCCAAACTTTTGAAAATAGAAATGCTCTGTTAAATGTAGAGAGGTTGTTTTTTTTGTGTGGAATGTCACCATTGCTATTACTTGTGACATTTGACTGTGTTGGCACACTTAACACTGGATCACTGAAATGTTTTATAAACATTTCTGCAAGCCGCTGGAACAGAAATTCTTAAAATTAGCCCGGATTTATCATTCTGTTGTATAACCTAGTTTATTGGCTGACCTCTAAAAGTTTAGGTAATGGCAACAGTATTTTAAAGCTATGTGTATGATGTACTGGAAGTTGGCTTTTTCTTGTTTTTCTTACTCTCCTCCTTGGAAAAAGCAATAAAACTGCTTTGTCTGTTGCCTATTAGCATGACAGGAGTCCTTTCCTTTGGACAGGGATTTTATAGGAAAGTTTGTATGCATATCACCAAGTCTAGCTTTTAAAAACAAAGTGTGCAGGAGTTATTGACAATATAGTGTGGCATTTTATTTTAAAAATTGGGGAAAGTTACATATTTTTTTAAAAAGTAGGTGTTTGAGTGAATAACGGAGGTACTTTTTTAAAAAAAAATTTATATGCCACAGTTTACATAGACATATTTCAGATTGAACATATGCATTCTATCTTCAGATATGGCGATTTCTTTTATTTTCTCAAAGTGCGTGTACAGTAACTCTTCCATCTAGTTCCTGTGTTTGCTTATGGGGATCCTACTTTATATGCTTTCTAATGTATCTGAATTGGTTTTCAAAAGTTGCAGTTGATTTGGGTATCTTTATTATAAGTGAACTATTAAATGTATGAAATGCAGTTTTGGCCTTTTCTATTGAGTGATCCTACAGCTCAAGGCTGCTTTCTTTAGAATTTATTAATTTCTACAAGGAGAGGTACTAAAATATTTTATAAGTTCAACTTGTTGCAGCATTCACTCTAGAGTGAGCTACATTTTAAAAAAAAGTGCATGTCTGCTAATGGCCTGCAAATGGGGGTATTTCTTAGGTTCAGAACACCATGAAACGTGTATATAAGCCTATAAAGATTTGTGCGGTTGGAAGCCTGTTTTACATGTAAACATACTCACGGAAGGGTTAAATTCATGGCATTCTTTGATTCTTCGATTATTTCTTGCTTCCAGTAATTGAACTGGTTCTTTTTTGCACATAGTAAAAACTTCGCTCATCTTTTAATATGGTTCTTCAAAAACGTGCTGTTTCTGTGATATTGTATTATCTGAATAATCATATTTAACTTTTTTTAAACAAGGTTACCGTTTCTAATTGTTCCGTTCCTGTGTTTTTTGCTGATGTGTAATAAAAAAAAAAAAAGGTTTTCTTTACATGGTTATTTAATACATTAGCTGCCTGTAAATATTTCTTGTTAAGTGCTCTGGAATGTGCTGTAGAAGTTGTATTAGATCAGTTGAAAGCATTGTTTGAAAACCATTTTGTTTTGGTTATTTCTATTAAATTAGAAAAATTACTCTTTCAATTTGGGTTTCTTTTTTGCACATCTGCGTTAGGTCATAAGATACCAGTTCAGGTCTGGCAAAAGACTTCTCTGGTACTTGCAGTGGGGAGGTACCTTGATGAAATTTTCACTGCAGCCATTCAAGTATGACCACCTGAGGCTGCATAACCTGCAGCGATCAGTAGTTCCAAGACAGAAAATACTGAAGTCAACTCGACTCAAAGTTTGGGTTGGAGATGCTGTGATTTCACCACTCTGCACTTACTTTTCCATAAAATGATTTGTCACATTTGTCTACACCTAGTACTTGAAATACAAGTATTTTAAGGTTTTCTCTAGGGCTTTTTGTGCTGCCATCATCCTGAAGTTTGGTGCAGCCTCGGAGGAGACGGTTCTGAGGTGTACGGCTCCTGGAGCTGGGATGCTTTCCAAGGCTCCGGCAGACCTGATGACAGTCTGCAGGGGGATGCTCTGGAGCGTTGTTCCCCGTGCCCCCCCGCCCCCCAGTGAGCACTGGAAAAAGGAAAAGGGAGCTGATCCTGATTGCTCTGTAACTTGTCAACGTTGCACCCGCAGCTGTGTGATGCTCCTTGCC